GCTATTCCCTAATGATCTTCATGTGGTTTGACAACGATCTCCCCCAATCTCTCCTTGCTTCTCTATGCCTAATCTGCTCTTTTTATATCTTAAATGTGCTTGACTTCAAACATACCCTACACTGATACGGCCTCTTAACATAACAAAGAAAACCCATTCCCAAATGGGATTATAGTCATAGGGATACCAAAAAAAAAAAACCAAAGCCATTACCTTCAAGTTGATTCCAACTCACAGTGACTCTATAGGACAGAGTAGAACTGCCCCATAGGGTTTCTAAGAAGCAGCCGGTGGATGCGAACTGCCAACCTTTTGGTTAGTAGCTGAGCCCTTAACCACTGCACCACCAGGCTCCAGGGCACAATAGTCAGGCTGAATTGAGAGACAATGATTGAAGTTCAGAATGGCCAAGATAGTCTTTAGAGAGAAGTCAAAACTTGTGGCAAGATACCAGTACAGAGTGAGTGAATTCCTCTTTTTTTTTTTACTTTACACAGAGAGTGACTGTATTCAGGAAGTCAGCAATGTTGGCATAAGGAGAGGTAAAACTTTCATAGAAAAGCTATAAAAGTTTTGGTCAGAGGAACCAAGTTAAGGAGCCCTTCAGCACCCGGGGCCACTGGAGAATAAAGGGGGATCCCCAGAAAGGAGAGACCTAGAGAAAGGGAACCACTCAGTTATGTGCATAGTCTCAGTCCAGGTCACTGGTTGAGCTTTAAACCATGAATACATGGAACAAAATGAAAGCAGCTAGCAACTAAGGCTTAAAGAACCACAAGTGTGACAGTCTGCGATTTGGTTGAGTCAAGTTATTTACCTGCTAAAACAAAAATAACAATTGTGGTACCAAGATAACAAATTCCAAAGTCTGTACATATAACATTCCCAACACTCTGGATATGATACGAAATGTGACCCAATATTTAGGGAAAAGACAATCAACAGATGCCAATCCCTGGATGTCCCAGATAGTGAAGTTATCAAGTAAAGACTTCATGCCAGCTATTTAATTATGGTCCGTGGGGAAAAGGAATGCACATATGCAGTGAATGGAAAGATAGGAAAGTTTAGCACAGAAAGAAACACTCCTCTTTCTCCAACTGATAGAACAAGCAGAAAAATCAATGGAGAGGGAATTTTAGCAACACTCTCAATCACTTCAAGTTAAGTGATATTTGTACAGTATACCTGACAGTTGCAGAGTACCCACTGTTTTCAAGTGCACCAAGAAAGACCGGATACTTGAAATAATATAGAGTATGTTCTCTGATCACAATTGAAGTAAATTACAGCTTTTATAACGGTAAATATCTGGAAAACTCCCAAATATTTAGAAATTAAACCAATAATAGATTTCTGGGCCATAAATAGAGTGTCAGTAAGCTGGTGACCCAATTATTTTCTGCTTTGAATTTTTTGTTGATACCATGTGTTTTCAGTAATGGAAGCATTCTGAATCATTGTGTCTGAATTTTTGGTAGGTAGTATTGATTTTTTTTTCTTGCCCCCTCCCACAAGCCTACCATATTTAGTGGTACACATGATGTACCACTAATTATACCCCAGAGTCCCCACCAGAAATTTCTATTTTTCCTGCCAAAAATTCAGACACCTCATACAATACCCTGTAAAAACAGTAATTTGCAGCATACACCCATTTCTTCAGTTTCAAACAATCATAAAGGCCCCTGCCTTGCAGCAGCACACACTGTCAATGGTATAGCAGCTTCCCAATAAACCCCAAAGTCTGAAAAAGTTTATGGTTGCTATATGTACTACTGGACACAAAAGGGTTAATCCTTTCATAAATGAATTAATTTTTCTTTTAAATTTTTTGTTTATATAATGTTTTTTCATTAATGGAAAATATGCTGAATCATTGAGTGTGTGAATTTTTGGTAGGTCATATGGATTTTTTTCTGGCCTCATCCCAAAAATCCTATTCTCAGAGTTCAGAGGGACATATATATATATTCCTCTGATTCAACCCCCAGAGTCCAGAGGGACATATATGTCCCACATAAATTTTTTTCAAACTCCATACTTTACCTAAAAAAAAAAAAAAAAAATCAATTCAGCACCACCTCATACAATACCCTGTAAAAATAGTAATTTGTGGCACACTCCCATTTCTTCTGTTCCAAACAGTTATACAGGTCCCCGGCTGGTGGCAGCATGCACTAAAAAGCCACTTCCCAAAAAACCTGAGAGGCAGAAAATATAGGTTAGAGAACGTATATTCTATTACTCATGAAAGGGTCATTAACCAAGTTACTTGACTGTCTTAGTTATCTAGTGCCGCTGTATCAGAAATACCACAAGTGGGTGGCTTTAATGAACAGAAATTTATTTTCTCACAGTTCAGGAAGCTAGAAGTCTCCTAAATTTTGGCCCTCCAAAATTCATGTCCTTACCACGTGCAAAACACATTCACCCTGTCACATCATCCCAGAAGTCTTAAATCAACTCCAAGTCCAAAATCTCATCCTCTGTACCATCTAAATCAACTATGGGGGAGAATTTGGGTGTGTTTCATCCTGGGACAAAATTCCTTTCCGTTAGTGAACCTGTGAAATCTAGAATACAAGTTATCTGCTTTCAAAGTACAATTGTGGGACAAACACAAGATAAGACATTTCCATTACAAATGGGAGAAATCATGGGTGCCAAGCAAATCTTGAAAACAGTCCTCTTTATTCTCCAGGTACATCTAGGCAGTGGCCCCACCCTCTCGGCGCTGGGTATTGGCCATGCTTTCTGGATTCTGGGCGGAGGCCCCGCCTTTCATGTCCACTGGAATGACACCCCTGCGCCCTTGGCTTTGGGTGGCCCAATTCTCCTGGTCCACTCAAGTGGTGACCCCAGCTCCTCATCCCTAGGCAGCCCCATTGTCTTAACCCTTGGGCATGACATCCAGCCCCCTGAGCTATGGGTGTGAGCCCATTCTCCTGGCCCTTGGGTATGGCAGCCCTGAACCCTCACTATGGGTGTGAGCCCCATTCTCCTGGTCCACCTAAATGGCTGCCTCACCTTCTGGAACTAAGGTGGTAGCCTTGGCTCCAACCTTTGAAACCTAGGCAACCATGCTTCCCATGTTCCTTCCAACAGTTGTACTGATCTCTGAACTTTTCCCAGGATGGTCCTTTTCTTTTCTTGGAGGACAAAAGATGTTCTCATCCAAGTAGTTCAACTGGCCTGTTTCCCCTGACTACAGAATTCCAAGAGGCAGACAGCTTTCCTTCATTTCATCCTCTCTGTCCCCTTCAGTCTAAGCTGATGGGTTTTCTGCTGTGGTAATTGATTAGATACATCAGTCACAGGCTTAATCTCTGATTCAAGAGATTGTTTATTGTGTAGCCACATCTTTGATGAAAGTTCTAGGACACGTGTTCTTAGTTTGTACAATTTTCTAAACCTTTACATTCTGGTTTCATTTTGCACAGTTCATTTTTAAGTCCATCTCTTTCCTCCTGCATTCTACTGTAAGAGGCAAAGAGAAACCATGCTGCCTCTTTAAGATCTTGCTTAGAAATATCATCCAAATATCCATACTTACAAGTTCTACTTTCCACCAAATATTTGAACATTATTCAGATAAGTTTTTTGCCATTTCATAAAATAGATCACCTTCCCTCCAGTGTCCAATCACATGTTCATCATTTCCTTTTAGAACTTAACCAGAAGCACATTTAACATCCACATTTCTAGCAACATTGTGTTCATGTTGATATATATATTCTCTAAGATGTTATAAACTTTATAGCGCTCTTCACTTCTTTCTGAGCCCTCGCTAGAATTGCCTTTGACATCCATAATTCTACCAACAGTCTCTTCAAGGCAATCTAGGCTTTTACTGTTAACCACAAAAAACCCCAAACACATTGCTGTCAAGTCGATTCCAACTGATAGCGACCCAGTAGGACAGAGTAGAACTGCCCCGTAGGGTCTCCAAGGAGCAGATGGTGGATTCAGACTGCCAACCTTTTGGTTAGCAGCTGGTCTCTTAACCACGGCGCCAAGACTTTTATTATTAGTCACCTTAAAACTCTTCCAGCCTCCACCTGTTACCCAATTCCAAAACCACTTCCACATTTTAGGTATTTGTTAAAGCAGCACCCCATTCCAGGGACCAAATTCTCTCTTAGTTATCTAGTGCTGCTGTATCAGAAATACCACAAGTGTCCCCTTGTGGTATTCATTAATAAGCAGAAATTTATGTATTTATTAATAAACAGAAATTTATTTTCCCACAGTTTAGGAGGCCAGAAGTCCAAATTCAGGACATAAGCTCCAGGGGCAGGCTTTCTCTGTCTGTCAGCTCTCGGGGGAAAATCCTTGTCTCTTCAGGTTCTCTTCTCCGGTTCCTTGGCGGTCTTCGTGTGGCGTGGCATCTGTCTTCCCCATCTGTGCTTGCTTGCTCCTGTGCCTGATCTGCTCTTTTATATCTCAGAAGTGATTGGTTTAAGACATAGCTACACTTAACACATATTAATATAAGAAAGAAACCCTATTCCAAATTGAGATTACATCCACAGTTTACGATTTACAACACGTATTTTTTGGGGAAAAATTTTAATTCATAACATTGACATTCTGAGCCTTGGTTTCCTCTTCTATAAAATGAAAATGATAATATTTGTTATTTAACCCATTTTAGTTGTTGTGGAAATTAAATTAGATAATTATTGTGAATACATTTTGGAACCCTAAGGTATTATATGACTGTGTTGTTCTACATGATATTTGATTTGTGTTAACTCTCTCACAGGAATATCAGCTCATGATAGGACTCAGTAATTGGATGCTCTGGGCTGCCTATTTCATCACATTCTTCTGTTTGTATTTAATCGTCATCTTTTTTATGTGCATGACTTTCTTCGCCAAGGCAAGTATCTATTTGACTGCAGCATACTGCAGCTAAATTTTGAGAAGAAAACAGAAACATGCTATGGGCTGAATGGGGCTCACATTGCTAAGAGAATGAAAACGTGGCTTTCGTTGACTCCACTGAGGAAACTCAGAAGCTGCTTATTCTCAGCAAACAAAACTTTAAATTTAGATGGGTGGAGCTCTGTAAGAAATGAATTGTTTATTTAACTCTCCATCTCACTGGGAAGTGTCATCACCCTCTCTAGGACTATTAAAATATATTTAAGGATGTTTCACTTTTCCTCTTATGTTTTGCTGTGACATTGCTTAGAGTATGACTAAACTGGCTTCCTGGTTGTTTTGCTAGATTGAACCTGTTCCAATTCTCCAACACAGTGACCCATCTCTCATCTTCATCTTTTTGCTGTGTTTTGCCATTGCGTCAATACTCTTCACCTTTATGGTTAGCACATTCTTCAATAAAGGTGAGTCTAATCCTTCTCCTGTGAAACTCAGTGACTAAAAAAGTATTGTCTAAAAAAAGATTATATTTGGGAGCGCCTTCTAAACTTTATTTGCCACCTCATATACAGCTCTGTTTACATTCTAACTGGAAAGCCTGATATATGCATGTGAAATGATTTGGGAGGAAGTGAAGAGGTCAGTGAAAATTGATACAGCACAGGATGCATGAGAAAAAAGCATAAAAACCAAAATAGAATCATATTTAGGAGCTCTTTCTAACCTTTAGTTGCTGCATCATATATGGTAAATGTCTGTCCATACACCAGGAAGGCTCTTATGTATTCTCTGCGGAGGGATTGATGTCTTCCAATATATGAAAATTAGATGAGTGTGTGAAGAGGAAGAACACAAAAAAATAGCTTGACTGAAAGAGAGAGTCTTTTCATTTAATTACCACATCCTGATTGCATGTCTGCTGTATGTATGTGAAATGCAGTGCCTGCCCCCATAGAACTAACATTGACCTTAGGGACATGAATATCATATGCACAAAAAGTGATTTGAGGGGACATGAAGAGAACAATGAAAATTAATAGAGCACAGCATACACATGAAAAACAGGAATAAAATACTCCAACTTCAGACTGAGGTTGAGATAAACCTAAGAATGCTTCCTGAAGAGGTTGCTTTTGAGACACTTTTAAAGGATTGGAAGCAGGAGGTAGGGAGTCAAGTTATGGATGCAAGTATCCGTTCATTCATTTATTTAAATCTTTGGATCACTCACCTTGTGCTTGGGACACTATCTGATACGCAAAGGCTAATATGAGGGCTTACATACAAAGAGCAGGTGTGACCCGATAACTCCATTTCATCGGTATTTTTCTTTTTTCTCAGTACGTCGTCATGGATATTATTAGTTGATGGAGGGGGGGTTCCTCACAAGGCATAGGATCGTGCATACAACCTACAAGACAACAACAAAACAAAAAAGCAAACCCACGGATAGAGAAAAGTCGTGTTAACATGAGGCAGAATGTGATATAGTGAAGAGAAAAGTAAGATACGTACTTAAGAAAGCAAATAAATGTTTTCTTTTTCTAGCATTATGGCAGGCTAGATACTCTGGACATTTTTGTATATGTCTTTTGGTACATATGTGCAAGACTTTCACTGTGGTGCATATTTAGAAATTGAATTACTGGGTCATAGGGTTTGTGAATGTCTAACCTGACTAGGTCATGTCAAACACTTCTAAAGTGGTTCTACAAATTTATGGTCTCCCTGGAAGATGATGAAAGTTCCTATTGAGCCTTTTCAGTATTTGGGTTTAGCAAATTTTAATTTGTACCGAATTAGGAGTATAATGTTAGAGCAATATTTTAAAATTTTTATTGTGGTAAAATACATAAATACAATTTGCCATTTTTAAGTGTACAATTCAGTGACATAATTACATTTACAATGTTGCACAACCAAGACCACTATCTATTTCCAAATTTTTTATCACTCTAAACAGAAACTCACTTGTAGAAATTTAAATATGCATTTCCCTAATATTAGTGAAGCTGAGCATGTATTTTTATTAATGAGTCGTGTGTTTCCTCTTCTATAAAATTGAGTGTCCCTACTTTTATTTCTAATTTCAGTCACTTCAGTTTTCTCCCTTTTCTACTAGTCATTCAGGCTGTTGTTGCCTGATGAAGCCTGCAGTCATGTGTTTACTGACTTTTCCAAACTATATTTGCAGAGTGTGAATTCCAGTTGTGTGTAGTCACTGAAATTTCTGTTGTCTCTTCAGTCAGCCAGTGGCCTGACAGATCACACACACACACACACACACACACACACACACACACACACGCCCTTTAAGCCCCTGCTCAGGGAGAAGCCACTGTGGCTAGAGGGCTGAGATTGTGGTTATCATCTGCACTGGGCCTCAGGGCACCATCAGACTAACCCAAATATACAACCAGGCATGTGGAATACACTGAGGCCTGGACTTTGTAAACAGCCAAGCCCTGGTGAAAGCAGCTCAGGCAAGGATGACTGAGCAGGCAGACCTAAAAAGGGGCATTGTGTCACACTGTAGGCAGGACTGCATGGGTCCTGGGAGGAAGCAAATTCTGGAGCATGGTGAGGCCCCAGACTTTGTGAACAGCCAGGCCCAGCACAAGCACCATGGGCAGGGACACCTGAGCACACAGACCTAAGAAAAGACACTATGGCACACTGCAGGCCTGGGACCGAGTGGATACCAGTAGGGAATGAATGCATGGAGTGCAGTGAGGCCCAGACTGTGTGAACAGCCAGCCTCTAGTGAATGCAACTCGCGTTAGAATGACTTATCAGGATGACTTAAGAAAGAGCACCTTGGCACACTGCAGGCCTAGGACCACATGGATCCTATGAGGAAGCAGCATGTGAAGCACAGTGCAGCCTGGACTTTGTGAACAACCAGGCCCCAGTCAAGGCAACTGAGAAGCTGGACCTGGAGCAGAGCTGCTTGGCAAGGATAGCGCCAGTCTGAGTTCCTGGGCATGCAGTACTGGGACAGAGAGACCAAGTAAGCACAGTGTGGACCAAAACACCTCAGCAGTTGGATCTGGGGCAGAGGGGCTCAATGAGCATAGCACAGGCCAGAGTTCATGAACACCTGGGCCTGGGACAGAGACGCTTGGTGAGTGAAGAGTGAGCTGAGGTGCCTGGATAATCTGACATGGAATGGGGCGGCTTGGTGAGCATAGCGTGGGCTTGAGTTCCTGAACACTTAAGCCAGGGACAGAGAGAACTTGGTGATCACAGTGCGGCTCAGAGCACCTGAGCAAAAGACCTGGGATAGAAAAGTTCAGTGAGTACAACATGGACTGGGTTTCCTGTGGATTCCAAGAAGAAGCAGTGAGGTGAGCACAGAGTGGGTTGCAGTTTATGAACAGTGATGACACATAGTAAATTGACAACAGCTGCTGCTTCCAGGGTGGGAATCTGAGGCTGCTGTAGCACAGCCAGTGTTCCTGGAAGAGGAATCTTAGGGTACATCTGTGACAGCTGCAGCTCCTGGGTGGAGTTCTAGAGCCAGAGTTGCATGGCCGAGGGCACCAGGGGTGGTTTGTGGTGAGCCGTAAAAGACAGCCAGTATTCCCAAATGGGGGTTTGTGCTAGAGGGGCATAGCTGGTGTACCGGAGGGTGCTAGGAATTTGGTACTAGAGTAATATGGTCAATGTTCCTGATATCTTGAGGGGAGGCAGCCACAACAAGTGATACAAACCAGAGAGTTTGGTCCTGAAGTGGCCTCCAGCTCAAGGAACTAGAGGTGAAACAATGATGGCTGGCATCCCTGGGTAGGAAACTAATAGGAAACGGACAATAGCAGGTGCACCCAGATGAAGGGTTTGGAGTTGAAGCAAAGAACTGCAACCTCCAATAATTTAGAATAATAATAACAATGAAAAAGAAGAAGAGCAAACCCTAGAGAAGGGGAAGAACCTAATCTCCAGAGTTACCACAGTAAAATACTGTAATGTCTCAATTACAACCAACAATTACAAAGTATATATAAAGAGGCAGGAAAGACTGGCCCATGCAGAAGACCAAAATAAGGGGACAGAAACTGTCCCTGAGAAAGGACAGATAATGGAATCACTAAACAAAAACTTTAAAGCAGCAGTATTAAGCATGCTCAAAGAGTTAAAGGACACAGAAAAAGAACTAAAGGAAATCAGGAAAACAATCCAAGAACAAAACAAGAATTTCAGTAAAGAGATAGAAATTTAAAAAGCACACCAAATAGGAATACTGAAGCTGAAAAATAAGATAACAGAAATGAACAGTTGTCTGGAAGGGCTTAGGAGTAGATTTGAATTGGCAGAAGAAAGAATCAGTGAACTCAAAGATTGGACAATTGAGATTGTTCAGTCTGAGGAGTAAAAAGAAAAAAGAATGAAGAAAAAGAACCAAGTCTAAGATATGTGGAACACCATCAAATGGAATAATATATGTGTTATGGGAGTCCTGGAAGGAGAAGAGAGAAAGAAAGTTACAGAAAGATTATTTGAAGAACTAATGGCCAGAAACTTCCCAAATATGATGAAAGATGAGAACTTATACATCCAAGATGCTCAATGAATTTCACATCGGGTAAATCTGGATAGAGCCACACCAAGGCACATTGTAATCAAACTCTTAAAAACCAAGGGCAAAGAGAAAAATTTGAGGGCAGCTTGAGAAAAGCAAAGTTATCACATACAAAGAGTCTTCAATAAGATTAAGTGCCGATTCCTCTACAGAAACCATGCAGGCAAGAAGACAGTGGGATGACATTTAAAATGCTGAAAGAAAAGAACTTTCATCCAAGAATACTATATTTGGCAAAACTGTCATTCAAAAATGAGGGTGAAATTAAAATATTACCAGATAAACAAAAGCTGAAAAAATTTGTTACCACCAGACCAGCCCTACAAGAAATGCTAAAGAGTGTCCCCCAGAAGGAAAAGTAAGCACACTTGACAGTAACTTGAAGTTGTACTACTGGGGGGCGAGGATTACCATTAAAGGAAATGGCTTGACAAGTATAAAAGCTAGAATTAATGTATTGAAGTTTAGCAGATACAACAGATATGCCCTTCTTGTTACATAAGGGCAAAAGCATAAAAGATAAAAATTAAAAAAAATAAATATATGTGTATAATAGCAATAAAATAAAGTTAAATTTAAATTTCAGGGTATCTGAGATATAAAGATTTAATCAGTGATAACAACAACATAAACAGGGAGGGAGGAAGGAGTAGCATAGATATAGATTGTATGCTCCTTCCATTGGTATCAATATAAGCCAGATTGTTATAAATGTAAATTGTTAAATATAATCCTTATGATAACACAAAGGAAGTAAATGAAACAGCTATACACGAGAAAAGAAGTGGGGAAACAAAATGATTCTGCACACACATACACACAAATCTGTACATCAAAGTCAGCACTGGAGGAAAAGAGGGACAAAGAAAGTATAAGATATACAAA